GAGCACTGTGGTCAGGTTACTTCTTGTTTTTCATTATCTTGACATTTTAGAAATGTATTAAATAGGCTGTACACTAGCCACATGGCTAGATATACAGTTAGGTCCAGAAATATTTGGACAGAGCTAACGTTTTTCTCATTTTGCTTTTGTACATTAATACAATAACTTTTAAATAAAACAACTCTGGTGCAGTTCAAGTCCAGACTTTCAGCTTTAATTCAGTGGGCTGAACAAACATTGCATACAAATGTGAGGAACTGAAGCATTTTTTTTAACATGACGCCTCAATTTCAGGGGTTCAAAAGTAATTGGAAAAATGAAATAAGTGAAAATAAAATGTTCATTTCTAATACTTGGTTGAAAACCCTTTGCTGGCAAAACAGCCCGAAGTCTTGAATTCGTGGACATCACCAGCTTCTGGGTTTCCTCCTTTGTAATGCTCTGCCAGGCCTTTACTGCAGCAGCCTTCAGTTGCTGTTTGTTTGTGGGTCCCTCTGTTCAAAGTTTAGCCTTCGACAAGTGAAATGCTCAGCTGGGTTAAGATCAGGTGACTACTTTGCCATTCAAGAATATTCCACTTCTTTTGTTTAATAAACTCCTGGGTTTCTGTAGCTGTATGTTTTGGGTCATTGTCCATCTGTATTACAAAACACTGCCTAATCGATTTGACTGCATATAACTGGATTTGAGCAGACAGTAAAGTAATTCTGTATGTATGCCCGAATTCATTCGGCAGCTTCTGTTCTGTGTCACATCATCAATAAACAGCCAGTGCCACTGGCAGCCGTGCACGCCCAAGCCATCACACTGCCTCCGCCGTGTTTTACAGATGATGTGGTATGCTTTGGATCATGAGCTGTTCCACGCCTTTGCCATACGTTTTTCCAGAACTGAACTTTACTGAGACTTGGATCGATACGCTTACCTTCTGGAGAGTGTTGTGAAGGGGTTTCTCTTCACCATGGAAATGATTCTGTGATCATCCACCACTGTTGTCTTCCTTGGACGTCCAGGTCTTTTTGCTGAGTTTACCAGTCTTTCTCATGTTGTCCCAATCTGTAGATTATTTTAGCCATTTCTCAATTTTTTTTTCTTCCTGTTTTCGCAGCTTAATGATGGCTTGTTTCACCTACATGGAGCTCCTTTGACCGCATCTTGTCTGTTCACTGCAAAATCTTCCAAATGCAAGCACCACACCTCAAATCAACTCCAGGCATTTTATCACACACAAGTTTATTATTTATCACCGGTTTCATCCAAGTCAGGAACTCTGTGTCCATCATTTTGAATTGGTGATCTAAGTTTTGATAATCACACCAACAAGGTCACCATAACTGCTTTCTATCACTTAAAAAATATACCCAAGGTTAATTCCTGACTCTGAGAATTGGTCCACGTAGACCAAGTGGTAAAATTATTGTAACGCTCAGTTTGCAGGAATCCCCCAAATCAGCACTAAGATTTCAGGAAATTGCTTACCTTTAAAATGTTTTATATTAGTTCACAATCTCTGACTTGCTCACTGGCTGCAACCCAGTCAGACCTCTCAGGTCATCAGATTCAGATCTTATAATTGTTCCCAGAATCAGATTTCCGTCTGCTGAAAGTGCTTTCAGTTATTGTGGTCCTGTTCTTTGCAAAAGGCTGCCTGCTGATCTGAGATCAATTATATCTGTGTGTTCAAAAACAGACCATTTCAATTACACATGCCTACAGTTAACAGGTGTTGTTCCCCTTTGCTGTCTTCTTGTTCCATATTAAGTACATCAAGTTCTCATATGATGAAATGTGCTATATAAATAAAATTTTCAATTGAGGTATTTAGACATGTTCAAATGACCAGATGAAGTGGAATGGTTGTTGGTGGCAAATGGGCTTTGAGAAACTGTTTATCTGCTGGGATTCCCACTCTATGCTTTATGGAGATTGTTCAGAAAAATGGAAAAATATTCACTGAGTGAAAGTTCTCTGGGTGAACATGTCTTGCTGATGCAAGAGTATAATAACCAGACTGCTTCAAGTTAATAGGAAGGCAACAACAGCAACTTAAATAACCACTCATTACCGCCAAGGTATGCACAAGAGCATCTCACAACACATCAAACTGTGAAGCACATGTAATACAGTAGCAGAAGACCACACCAGGTGCCGCTCCTGCCAGCTAAAATCAGGAAACTGTGCAGCGTCAGTCTGAAAAATGGGCAATAGAATATTGCATTATTATCGTTTGGTGTGTGAAGCCTTAATTTCTGCTGAAACTTTTAGACGTTAAGGTCAAAATTTGACGTAAACAGCTTGAAAACATGAATCAACAGTTTGGGCTGCTTTCGTGGTGTTGTTGTCACACAAGACCTGAACAATTTTCCAGCACTTTTCTTAATCTATGCCACAAAGCTCTGAGGCAAAAGGGAGTCCAACCCAGTAAGTGCACCCAACAAAGTGGCAGGCGAGTAAGCTTATTAACAAATATAGTATTGGTCAGTTCAGCATTCAAAACTAAAATGCTCCCTGAAGTAAAACTAAGTAATAACAACATTACATCTCAGCAAACATGTTACACACCACTGCATGCAGAATGGCTCACTGACTCAAGTTTTACATAATGAACCACAACTTTGACAAAACAGTCTTTAGTTCTTTTAAATTGAGTTTAAAGAGTTCACTCAGTAGCTGTTTTTCTTTCGTAGCTCTAACTCACATTTCATGGTCTTGTGGAAATGGTTATGCAGTCAAAGCAGCGACTGAGTGCATGATGAACCTTCCAATTCCATTTTTTAAAGACATTTTTTTATATTTTTTCCACTATAAAGAAAGAGAAAAAAAAAAAAGCAGCATCAAGTACATGACTTTAAACTCACCAAACTAAAAATCCATCCATCAATCACCTGCTTAACTGGGAGTGAGGGGACCTCCAGCTTATCCAGCTGTCACTGGAGCTAGGCAGAGTAAACCCTGGAGAGGTTTCCAGACTATCGCAGGCCTTCACCTCAAGATTTCACTAATTTAACCTGCAACAGGCTTCTTTTCTAGAAAAGCTCAAACTTTTTAGATTGAAGAAAAAAAACCCAAGGACGCTGGCTCATTTAAAAAGAACTAAACATTGCCAAATCCTCCCACTGAAAAGCTAACACTCCGTAATGACTGCAAACCATTTATTAGATCTGAAATAAGGACTGAGACAGTTATCAAATACATTTTGCTAATTTTAATACAGCTCAAGGGTGAGATGTACAAGTATGCATTATTAGATGCTATCTAATCCTTAAAAAGAAATAAACTATGTGCACGCAAATCTCCAAATTAACCAGAGCTGCCTCTGGTGAGGCGTACTGAATAACAAATGACACTGCTGCAAATTTAGTCCCCTGGGTAAAATTATGCTGCATTAGGACAAAAAGATACATCATGCGCTGAGCAGAAACGAACAATAGAGTCAGAGAAGTAATCATTACCACTGATGAATAACCTTTTGATTCGCTGTGGTGCTCTTTCACATCCCAACAAATAACAATTGAGTATTTTTTATGTTTTCTGTAACTGGCTCATAGTTGAAGCTTAAGGTGCCTCTTTAAATTTTTTAAGTGTTAGTCAATATTATTTGCCTGTGCATGGAAAACAGATGAACTTGGGGATTTTCCAGATTGCAGTGCATTCACAAAGCTGCAGTAAAGGCATGGACGTCACTTTCCATATGAGGCTTCTGAAACAAATGCTGCGATTACGTCTTGGATTATGTTTCTCACCCTTTGCGTAATGCACCATCCCCACAGCACACCCCTGGTCCATGTAATGACTACAGGAAGAGAACAAATCACACAACGAAAGCAAGTTCATGACTAATGATTGTAAATCCATTTGAAGGAGATAAACACAGTCCTAGTCAACTGCCTGCCCACAGTCTAAGAAAGTGCCAGCTTTGTCAGATGTAGTCATGCTCCACCAAATATTAAACATCAAGGGTCTCTTGCTGACAGCAGCCCGGCTGTGCACTGTTATCCAGTTGCCTTATTACACTGAATAAATCCTCTCCATGTCAAGCACCATGCTTGGATTTTAAGACCTAATTTAATTCCAGCCATGTGCAGCTCGGCCGCTCTGATGTTTAAAGTGAGAGACACTGATGCAGGATGCTTTGCATATGCCAGAGGAAGTCGTGAAACAGAAATGTGCATTAATGGTACAAATTATTATGTTTTTGGTCATCATCAGGGACATTTGGCTTAAATTCATCTATGATTAAATTACAGATTGAGGTTTCCACAAAATGACCCAAATGTTTCCTCCAGCCTCCTGAAAAATGCATTTACATTCACAAACTAACACTGCTGTCCCTCTAATTGGATCCAAAGTTAGCAGTCTGGTAAAGTGCATAGTATGAGGGGAGATAAGAGCACAAAACTGTACCTCCTAAAGAACCGAGATTGGAGGAGTCTGTGTTGCTAATTCCACAGCAGCACAAAAAGGTTAGACTTTTAGACAGCCACCTTTTTATTTTTTAAACAAATTATTGAACTGAGGCTCAAGAGGAAGGTGAGGAAATATCTCTTGACCACGTATGCTTTGAATAAATTGCATTGTGCACTAGGAGGCAATATTCCAAGGCAGCATAATACAAGTGTGGAAATTGTTTATTTTCATCCGCCCTCCTGCCACCATTCATCCATACTGCTGCCAGCAAATACAATGACATTGTTTTTGAGACAGCTGGGAAATGTTCTAGTCATCACCCCCCCAAACCATGTCTCTGCCAAAATACTGTGCACTGAGAATATAAGCCATCTGAGTTCAGACCAGTGTAAAAACAAAGAAGGAAAACAAACCAAGAGAGCAGTTTTAACGCATGGTTAGGCAGAAATAAATGCAGGATCACGGACATGTGAGCAAAGAATATCATACAGCGGGGGAAAAAGAAACGTCTGTGTGAATTTTTGAAAGGTTGAATCAAAACCTGCAATAAAGAAAATAGAAAAAAAAATTTTTAGACAATAAAATACAAAAGCTTACTGTCTCAATTATAGATTTTTTTAATGTTATTTTTGGTCATAATATTTCTATTTTTCCTTTCCATGAGCACTGTGGTGCACTCCTTTAATTTTCTTCACTTTTTCTCCCAAAGTCTGCTAAGCTGGAATTAAAAGACTGAAAGACAAATTTTCAACTTTAATACTTAATACAACAGTTTAGGGAATTTGTAAGATTCAGCAGAATTCGGAGCATGTCCAGACATACAGAATTATTTGTATGTGTATTTAAAAATTTGAGAATCAGGCCTCTTGAAAGAAAGATTCCAAATCTTCTGTCATCTCGGCCAAATGTTGGGAGGTGTTTGCCGCCACCTCTTGAGTTGCGGCTGATCCTTTGGAGGCGGAGTTTTCCTGTGACCTCTGCGGAGCATCCATCTCTCTCTTTATGTCCTTGCCTCCACCCAGAAGTTTCTGGCTCTCCAGAAAGTACTGGTTGGGGTGATTGAGTGAGAAAGATGAGTCTTCAATCTGTTAATAAAAAAAAAGAGAAACCACAGGAGAAGGAAGGTCAGGAGACAGTAAGAATAGCAGGTTTAGTTTTCACAAAAGTGGCAGGTTGCTAGCACAATGATTGACTGATTCAATAAAATGTCACCTTTTATAAGACGGTCATTTAGCATCTCCGTCAGTAAGGGGGATGTGCAATGGTTTACTAATTTACTAACGATTTACTAATGAGGACAGGAGGCTTTCACAGCCACATTAGTGCGCAAAGTCACTTGCTAACTATTCTATCGGAGCACAGTGAAAAGATGAAATGGCCTTTCAGGAAATAAAAATGTCAAAATCATTCATGATGAGTAAAAAAACCCATTAATCAATTAGTGGATGGAATACAAATTCTCTTTCTGTGACCTTTTCTGTGATTTTTTTAAATAATTAGGTAATTTGATTGATGTTTTCAAAACATTTCATTGTGGAAAAAGTAAATGATTTAAAATACCCGAACAGCGTGTCAGCATCTTCAGTTACCAAGGAGATATTTCGCTGACTATTCGTACCTATTGAACCACTAGAGTACCGGCCTTCCTTTTAATAGTATTTTAAGGTATCTGCAAGTAGACCTAAATGGTAGTCCGTCAGCTCCTAACATTTTTTTTTTGAGTTGTTGGGATGATAAAAATTAAAAATGTGCATTCAGTCTGTATAGTGCCATGTGAGGCAAATAAATTTATTTTACACATGACTGCAAAACATGCTGTTTGTTATTTTATTATTTGTTTGCCTGGAGAAAATAAATGTACATGTAATGACTTTAACTAAACGAGTGACCAACAAATTCTAAATGAAAAACAATAAACAACCCAAGTAGCCCCGGGAATATTCCCCACAAAGGAACATCAGAGCAGATGTTCAACACCAGCACAGTTTATATCAGTGAACCAAATTTTGTTGCACTACTTAATTATATGGATAATAATGACAGTAAAGATATATTTTACCAGTAGTAACTGTTTCAGTTGGTAAGATTTTCAATATTTAAAAATCTTCCTATTACGAGCAGCAAAAAGATAAGGCACAAAATAGACTAAGTAAGTCAATCTTTAGCAAATTCGAGTAAATCAGAGTTCTAATATATATTGAAATAAAAATAATTGACATTATTTTTGAAAAAGAAGATATGCATGTAAAGTCCTGGAAATCTACAGATTTAAGATTGACATGTAACATGATAAATACAGGCTAATGGAGCTATGGTTTAAATTAAGACCATGTTGAATTGTACTACTAGATGTACTATTAATGTACTCAGCAATACACACAGGGATTTACTGCCCAAACCCAGCAGACCACTGTTTCGTTTATACTGCTTTAGTAGAGTGAAGAGATATAAATCACTGACAGAAAGACTGAATTTTAAAAATCTATCTAAATTCATGTAGTGTACATTTTTATACATTGAGTCCATTTAAATAAGGATAGGAACTTGTAATAACACTAAATCTTTACCTTACTAAAAGTGCCCTATCAGCATTAATTGTAGTGATGCCTTCCTTTTGAAACTGAACACAGTCACCTGTTGGTTTGTGAGCTAGTGGTTTTAGGCCTCATGTGAGGCCTGGATCTTCTCATTACGCACTGAATCAAATGTCAAACATGAAGTCGCCACATCCTGACTCATACCTTGCTGTTAATGTTAGTATAATATAAGTATATGTAAAGATGTGCTTAAGAGGATAAACTCAGTATTAAAGTGTTTATTAAGGTAGGATTAGATGTAAAGTTTGACTTGTTTCTGAAGCCAGAGGTGTTGCCCCCTGCTGGTCATTAGAATGAATGAACTGACCTCTACTGTCCATTCACACTACACCAGAAGCTGTGTAAATGCAGTGCATCCATGTGTGCAAACTCCAGCTGAATGACCTGAACAATCTGTACTAACAAGAAAATGTGTTGTCACTTTCAGTCCTAGCTGTACTGACTGAACAGGATGATGACTCACGCACATAAAACAGCTTAAATTAAATAAGCATCCACAGGGGGGCAAAATAGATTGGAATGCTATAATAAACCTATGAAAATTAAGCGGCTGTGACAGACTGCTAATGATGGATGGGATGACAGTTTTGGGTCTCTCCTGAGCCTTCATGCATGAGATGCAAGGACCAAACCCCTGCCTCTGACACAGGTACCCCTGCTTACTCCCTGCATCAAATGACTCCACTTACATTGTGTGTCAGCTCAAAGTATTTCTGGCATGCCAGCTGGTAGTGCATTCCTTTAACCAGCTCCAGGATCTGCAACAAAAGGCACAGTTCACAAAAATTAAGGTTAAACTTCTACACCTTAGATACTGATACAGCAACTCTACAGAGAATACTGTTGCCAATTTTTGCTTCTCCTCTATTTAAAATGACTTTATACTTCTTTTTTTTTTTAGTAAATCATCATGACAGAAGTGAATACATCCTTCAAAAAATCTCTTCAAACCTAATAAAAACAGATCACATACATATTTAGGCTAATCTAAATATTCATGCCTTGGGTCAGCTCTTTGGAGAATAACCAGTGGCAATGATTACAGATCTCAATTTTGGTTTTTTCTTTATTTTTTTGCCTTCTGAAGCTCTACAAAGCGGAAAAGGGAGAGGGTGAACACCCAGCCTGCAGCCCAACTTTTTACTGGGTCACATAAGAACGGCAACGTTCTGGTAATAAAGCCACTGTAGTGTGCAGTGAGACTGCATACTCGGGGTGAGTGACCTGCTGAAAAAAGAAAAATCCCAAGTTATCAGTACTCACTAAGAGAGAGACACTTCTGAGGAGTCTGCCTGAAATTAGTTCCTTCATTATTCCCCAGATTCCTGAAGGCTGCCTCCAGCATGAAACTGCCACCAGAATGCTAAACACTGAGGCTGGGGTTAGATCAGTGTCGAGCTACGTACCGTTTCAGTCAGACTTTGCCGTTTTTATCAGAGCTTTAGTTTGCTTAGTGCAGTGGTTCCCAAACTTTTTTTGCTGGGCCCCCCTTGTTTTACAAGAAAAATGTTCGTGCCCCCCCTCGCGCGCGCGCACGAACACATCCTCCAACCACACACACCCATATTTTGCTCCATTGCAGTTTATTTCACACCTCAAACATTTAGTAAACAATTAAGCAAATACAAGTAATCTGCAATAAATGACAGGTAGTAA